CCCCCCCCCCCCCCCTCAAAATCAAGATTTGAGATTTTTTGGGCCCGCCATAAGCACTGGTCTTAGACCACGCGATACGAGAGCCGAAATCCTTGTGTGGACTGCACCAGTCTCTGGAACGTTCTTTCGAGATTTGTTGTGACGAATCTGTTCCAGAAATAACTGTCCCGGCCGTTGCACAGCCAACCGCATCAAGTATGCAACGAAGCTCTGAGCTGACATGCGGAAGAGCGCAAGATAGACGTCAGCGATCCCCTCTTCGTGAATCTAACTTCTGCAACCCTGCTGTAGACTGCGGTCGCTCGATCCGAGAAGGTATGTGCTGGGTAGGACGTCCATTACCCCGCCTCAGCACCCATCCATGTGAACGCGCCCGATATCGTTCCACAGGCAACACGAAAGCTCGCCAATTCTAAGATGCAACAGTCAGTAGACTTTCGCTCGTCCGTGTGTCGATGTCGCTATCTCGCACTACCGCCACTGCCGCTCCCCTCCCGCCATTTTTGTCTCCTTCGCACAGAACGTTCCGGGCAGCGTTCTCTTTGGCCCCGCGTTTTCTTTTTGGTTCCGGACGAAGGAGGCGTGAAGCACATTCTTAGACTAGAGCCCGTGGTCTTCTTGCCAATGCACACCAGCCACCACCCACCTGAACGCGCTTGATGTGCAGATGAACTGGATGTTCGAGATAACAAGAAAGCAAGCGCCTTTAACTCGTCCGATCCTTTGGGTGCTGTGAATTGAGTCGGCTGAAGCGGTACGCGCCAGCTTGCAGCTGCGGCAACGTGCGGGCGATCATCGCTCTCGGGGATTCTCAGAACGCAGAACGCCTCGCAAAACGACGGTTTCGTGACGGTTTCAGGTTTGTAATCCCGTCCAGGCCGTCAAGAATTGATGTGTACGGTCAAGTACGCGAAGGAACATTCGGCCGTTTGCGCATTGTCGCCAGTTAACTATGGGAAGGCAGCCACCGAGAGGACTCGAGATAGGAGAAATGCTGGTGCCTGCCACCCATGACTCGGCTGCCCGCTTCCACACTCGCAGTACTCCCTAGTGTGAGAGGGCTGTGGATCGTGTTGCGTAGACGACGCTCCGTCCCGACACACACCGCGCTCGACTCGTGACATTCGCGAATGATCATGACAGGCCTCGGCGCGTGAGGCTTCTTATGCTTGAAGGCGCCCCCAAGACCAAACGTGCACGTCCTCTTCGATGCTTGTCGGTAGCCCTTGAATGGTACCGGAACCCTATGGATGCCTTCGTATAGGAATACGGCTACGTCCCTGTCGTTGACCCCAGGAGGTGGCGATTCTTTCTGAGGCGATACCAGGTTTTTTGTACTTCAGACTATACTACTGCTGTGTAGTGCGGTTGCGGCCATCCGGTGGACCACGGCACGACAACCTCCAGCATCTCACATGATCACAAGTCGTTGCGTTTCATACGCTTCTCGGCCTTGTGGGCGTGTTGTCCTGCTACTAAACTTCCCTTCATCAATGTCACCGGGGTCGGTGGGTCGTGCTTAGCGCACAGCGTGTAGTTCTGACCGTGCGACGGATTTTCGTAGATACTGCTGTAGCAGCTACAGATCTGTAAAATCGCATGTTGGGAATTTTTCTCCTTTTCTCTTTTGGTGTAGACTATTTCGAGAAGCACGAGAATGAATCACACCCCGTTTATTGCAGCAGATCCGCCAGGATTAAGACAAAAATTCGCGTTGGTTTTGATTTTGATGAAAATGTATAGACTATACGGTGAGGTAGTGCTAGACTATAGTGCCCAGAAGCAGGGTTTCCGGTAAGGAATTTCATTGGGCCATTATCCCTGTGAAAGTTTTGGACGTCCCAGGTTTAACATGTTGTAAAGAAGATTGTACAACTGCACCAACAGTATATTGTGGCTGTTTGTTTTGCAGTCATAACGCATGTTTTCTGTTTTCTGCATAATAAATAAACTCTATTTTTTCCGGTCTCAACTATAATCAAGTGATGCGTATTTACATTTCCCACAGCCTATCGTCTCTCTTGGGCTCATGCATACTCACAGCCAACCCTCTTCATACCAAGACTCTACTGGAGAGCTAAGATAGTGTCCTCACGAAGATCACCATTGTGTTCTCGCACGTGCCACACACGTATACAAGGTGCGGTGGGGTGACAAGCGCATGTGGTGACCTGCACTGACATACGACTAGACACTGAATATTGAACTGCTTTTCGGTTGCTGAGTGCACATGAATACTAGTAATTTACACAAACAAATCTTGTAATGGATTTACTTGTAGAATACATGTAGAACAGACCAAGATTTTCCTTACGCCGTGCATAGCAGAGACTTGAACGGTACAGTCGAACATTTCCTGCAGCATGCATGGAGCTACGGGACTACACTACTTTCAACATACAACCGTGACGACATGTCACCCTTCCTGCCTGCCGCAATACTTAGAAGTATCACAACTACACCTCCAAATCTCCTCCATACCACATTGCGGAAGATCAGGTTTCGGCGTGTAGCTTGAATTGAAGGGCTAGCCCATAGCTTCAAGCCGCTACCCTGGTCATCCTGTGGGAGTCTCTCGTTGTGGAGCTACAGCGGGGAGCAGAAGCTACAGCAGAGCCCACCGCCCGACGCGATACCGCCCTGAAACAGTTTGAGCAGAAATAGCCAATCTGGGCAAATCTAGCAACTTGTCTAGCTCCTCGCTGCAGCATCCGATGACGATGACACGCATATGCTCGCGAAGCTGCTGATGAGACCTTCAATTTGCACCGCTTTTTGGAATAGCCCGTCCCCTACTTGCCAAGAAATGGCAAGAGGCGTCTGGACCCAAAATTTCAATTTTTTTGGCTCTCGCTCTCAATCAGATACTTCGCTCTCAATCAGGCGAATATGTTGTTAAATGGTGACTGCGACCTTCCTGCCACTGAAGATCCATGTCATATTTCATCAAGCGGAGAGCCCAACGGTAAAGTTTAGGCGATGGATGTTGGCTTTTGAACAACCAGGTCAATGCTGAACAATCTGTAACCAAGGTGAATCTTCGACCCCATCAATAATGTCGAAAATGTTCCACTGCCCACAACACAGCTGCCGCCTCTCTTTCTGTTGGAGATCGTCGTGCATCTGTACGAGACCACCGGTGACTAGCGAAAGCGATAATAACTCGTTCAACGCTATCTTGGATTTGAGTTAGCGCTGCACCCCCACCAACTTCAGAAGCATCAGTATGTAGCACAAACGGCTCATGCCAGTTCGGAAGAACTAGAATCGGAGGCGAGGATAAGCAATGAATGAGCTGAGCAAGAGCTTCATCTTGAGCTCGACCCCAAGGGATTGCCAATTTACGACC